GTATGATTCGTTTTACCAGGGGATCTGATGTGGATGCTAACGCAGCCAATGCGTCTGCTGAGGAGTTCTCTCCCCGTGGGATTCTCGTTAGCTCGAATTTAATGAACTGTTTAGTGAGGCTTTGTACCACTTCGAGGTATGCCCCCATTCTTTCGTCCCTGGTTTCATACTCTCCGTGGAACTGGCTAGCTACCAGCTGTGAGTCACTGTAGGCGTTTGCTCTCGGATTCCGAGGCTTAGGGCGAGTCTTAGTCCTGCAATTAATGCTTCATATTCGGCCTCGTTGTTTGAAGCATTGAAGCCGAGCCTGTAGGATTGCTCGATGGTTTCTCCGGCTGACAATGTCAGCCTTAAGCCAATTCCGGAACCTTGTTTTGATGAGGCTCCGTCGACGTACAGGCTCCATTCCGGAGCTTCGGCTCTCGGATCTAGCTGTTCAGACGATAGCTCAATGATGAAATCAGCGAGGACCTGAGCTTTTATGGCAGCTCGGGGTCTATATTCGATGTCGTATTCGCTGAGCTCTATTGCCCATTTGGCTAGTCGCCCTGACTGGCTAGGGCTGTGCAGGATTGTGCGTATTGGTTGTGAGGTCATTACCACGATCGAGTGTGATTGGAAGTAGGGTCGTAGCTTTCTGGCGGCTGTGACGACTGCCAGAGCTAATTTTTCCATAGTAGGGTATCTGGTTTCGGCGTCTATTAAGCTTTTGCTCGTGTAATAGACAGGTCTTTGCTCGTTTTGTTCCTCTCGTACCAGCACGCCGCTAACCGCCGCAGTTGACACTGCGAGGTATAGATACAGGGGTTCTCCTGTTACTAGTTTGGATAGGATTGGAGGTTCGGAGAGGTAAGCTTTTAGTTGTTTGAAGGCTTCCTCGCACTTCTCATCCCACAAGAACTTCTTGTTATTTTTTAGAAGTTTGTAGAATGGGAGGCATTTATCGGTGGACTTGGATATGAATCGGTTTAAAGCGGCGATTCGTCCAGTCAGTCTTTGTACCTCCCTGGTTGTCTTAGGTAATGGCATTTCCAGGAAGGTTGATATCTGTTTCGGGTTGGCTTTGATACCTCTCTCGCTTACGAGGTAGCCGAGGAATTCTCCCGAGGGCACTCCAAAGGTGCATTTTGCGGGGTTTAGTTTCATGTCGTATTTGTTGAGGATATCGAAGCATTCTTTTAGGTGGGAGATGTGGTTTTCCCCAGCTGAGGATTTAACCAGCATATCGTCAATGTACACCTCCATGGTTTTTCCGAGCTGTCCAGCAAACATTTTGTTCACAAGCCTCTGGTAGGTAGCTCCCGCGTTTTTCAGTTCGAATGGCATTACCTTGTAGCAGTAGGTTCCGCGTTCGGTTATAAACGCGGTTTTTTCTTGATCTTCAGGGTTCATCATGATTTGATTATATCCAGAGAAGGCGTCCATGAAGGACAGGAGCTGATGTCCTGTCGTCGCCTCAACAAGGCGATCGATGTGAGGTAACGGGAAGCTGTCTTTAGGACAGGCCTTGATTAGGTCGGTGAAGTCTACACAGATCCTCCACTTCCCGTTTTTCTTTTTCACTACCACAGGGTTAGCTAGCCAATCGGGGTAGTGTACTTCACGGATGGACCCTGCTTTCGTGAGTCGATCTACTTCGTCGTTGACAGCTTGGGCTTTTTCGAGGCCTAGCTTACGGCGTTTCTGTTTGATCGGTTTGAAAGTAGGATCTACGTTGAGCTTGTGAGAGGTGACGTTTGGGTCTATACCTCTCA